CTTATTCACTGTCTTTTAAAATTTTAGTTTGGTTTGGGTTTTTTATTGTTTGAGACAGGATCTCACTCTGTTGCCCAGGCTGGAGTGCAGTGGCACAATCACAGCTCACTGCAGCCTCAACCTCCAGGGCTCAAGTAATCCTCCCACTCAGCCTCTTGAGTATCTGGGACTACAGGTGTGCACCACCACACCTGACTATTTTTTTGGTATTTTTTATAGAGACAAGGTTTTGCCATGTTGCTCAGGCTGGTCTCAAGCTCCTGTACTCAAACGATCCTCCCTCTTCGGCCTCCCAAAGTGCCGGGATTGTAGGAGTGAGCCACTGTTTGTCATAATTGTAATTGTAATTGTACATTTGTTTGTAATATTATTTAATTAATTATTAATAAAGCTCTATGAGGTAAGAATCATGTCAATTCTTGCTCATCTAAAAATCTGCAGCACCTCTGAACCTGGCACATAATAGATGCTCAATAGATGTTTGTTGTTTGTTGTTTTTGTTTTTTGGTTTTGTTGAGATAGGGTCTCACTCTGTCACCCAGGATTGAGTGCAGTGGTGTGGTCTCGGCTCACTGCAACCTCAGCCTCCTGGGCTCAAGCGATCCTCCCATCTCAGTCTCCCAAGTAGCAGGGACTACAGGCATGCACCACCACACTGGACCAAATTTTGCATATATATGTGTATGTGTGTGTGTGTGTGTGTATGTATGCAAGGTGCCCGCCGCCACACTTGGCTAATTTTTTATATTTTTAGTAGAGACGGGATTTCACCATGTTAGCCAGGATGGTCTCAATTTCCTGACCTCGTGATCCGCCCACCTCGGCCTCCTAAAGTGCTGGGATTACAGGCGTGAGCCACCACGCCCGGCCCTGCATATATATATTTTTTATCAAGGCAGGCTTCCACCTGGTTTCCCGGGCTGGTCTCAAACTCCTGAGCTCAGGCAATCCACTTGTCTCAGCCTCCCAAAGTGCTGGAATTACAGGTGTGAGCTACTGTGCCCAGCAAGATGCTCAATAAAGGTTTTTTGAATGAATAAGTACATTTATATTACACACTCCTCTCCATCTCTATCTCCCAAGCATGAGCCTCTATCATCTCTTATCTGGACCTCAGCAATCACTTCTTGGTTTGTCTTCCAGTTTATAATCAAGTTTCTGTCAATCAGTTTCCCACCCAAAAGCCAGAGTGGTCTAATAAAATAGCCTATCTGGCTGGGCACGGTGGCTGACGCCTGTAATCCCAGCACTTTGGGAGGCCGAGGTGGGCAGATCACGAGGTCAGGAGATCGAGACCGTCCTGACTAACGCAGTGAAACCCCATCTCTACTAAAAATACAAACAATTAGCCAAGTGTGGTGGCGGGCGCCTGTAGTCCCAGCTATTCGGGAGGCTGAGACAGAAGAATGGCGTGAATCCAGGAGGCGGAGCTTGCAGTGAGCCAAGATCACACCACTGCACTCCAGCCTGGGAGACAGAGCAAGACTCTGTCTCAAAAAAAAAAAAAAAAAAAATTCGCCGGAGGTGGTGGTGTGCGACTGAAGTCCCAGCTACTTGGGAGGCTGAGACAGGAGAATTGCTGGAACCCAGGAGGCAGAGGTTATCGTGAGTAGAGATCATACCACTGCACTCTAGCCTGGGCCACAGAGCAAGACTCCATCTCAAAAAAAAAAAAAACCCAAAAGCTGCCTATCTGATCATGCCACCCTTCCACCCCCTGTTGAATAGCCTTCAGTGGCTTCCCATGGCCCTTGGAATAAAATCCAAGCTCCTGACGACAGCCTTACAAGGTCTTGCATGGTCTGGCTCACCTCATGCCAAGCTCCACCTCCTCAACTGACATTTCTTAATTCAACAAATACTGAGCGCCTGTTCCACCAGGCACTGGGTGAGCAAAAACAGACTCCTTCAGCTCTGCTTAGTCCTCTAGATACTTGAACATACCTCCTTCCCATTCACAGCCTGTGCATGTCGCTTCTCTTGTTCTGGAATCCAGTCCTTTCTCTCTCCTTTCTCTACCTTCCTGACTTTGCCTGGTCAACACCTACTCACCCATCCATCAGATCTGATTACATATCATTCATTCAGGGATATCTTATCCGAACTGAAGCTAGCTTAGGTCCCCCTGTATACACTCTTAACTGCTCCCTATATTTGACTTCACAGCACTCACCACATGTTCTATTTTTACATTTGTTCCTGTGGCGATTTGGTGACTTGGTTTATACCCACCTTCCCCACCAGGAAGCGCCAGGAGCTTCTGTGTCTGGTTTTTGCTTACCATGGTTTCCCTCCGGTGCTCAGCTGGTGCTCCACAGGCAATTTACTGATTGACTAAATGAATGAGTAAACGATTCCCCCACAAGAGCATTCAGAGTTCTGCCCTTCAGGGAAATGTTGGCACCTCTGCCTCACTGTGCATAGGAGCTGGTGGGTGATGGCTGAGGAGGGGAGGCCTGGAGGGGCAAACATAGGAGCTCTCACCAAGGAGAGAGCTGAATGAGTGTATTAGTCCCTTCCTGCCCCTTCTTGTCCCTAGAGTGCTGTGACTTAGCCCTGCCCACCTCTCCAACCCCACCTAGCTCCTGTCCCCTTTGATGCTCCAGCAAGAGGAGCTCCTGCTCTTTGTCCCTGGAATTCCCAGCCTCCTGCATACTGACCCCTCCACCTGCAACTTGCCTCCTGCTTCCTTTCACAAGGCTGGCTCCTCCCTATCCTTCTTCAGGTCCAGTTTAAATGCTTTTTTTTTTTTCTTTTTGAGATGGAGTCTCACACTGTCACCTGGGCTAGAGTGCAGTAGCGAGATCTCAACTCACTGCAACCTCCACCTCCCAGGTTCAAGCGATTCTCCTGCCTCAGCCTATTGAGTAGCTGGGACTACAGGTGCGCGCCACCACACCCAGCTAATTTTTTGTATTTTTAGTAGAGATGAGGTTTCACCATGTTGGCCAGGCTGGTCTTGAACTCTTGACCTCGCAATCCACCCGCCTCAGCCTCCCAAAGTGCTGGGATTACAGGCATGAGCAACTGTCAAAGTGCTGGGATTACAGGCATGAGCCACCGTGCCTGGCCTAAATGCTTTTTTTTTTTTTTTTTTTGAGAAAGAGTCTTGTTCTGTCACCCAGGCTGGAGTGCAGTGGCATGATCTCAGCTCACCACAACCTCTGCCTCCCGGGTTCACGCCATTTTCCTGCCTCAGCCTCCCGAGAAGCTGGGAGTACAGGCGCCCGCCACCACGCCAGGCTAATTTTTTGTATTTTTATTAGAGATGGGGTTTCATCATGTTAGCCAGGATGGTCTCAATCTCCTAACCTTGTGATCCGTCTGCCTCGGCCTCCTAAAGTGCTGGGATTACATGCGTGAGCCACCACGCCCGTCCTGTTTTTGTTTTTTGAGATAGGGTCTCACTGTTGCCCAGGATGGAGTGCAGTGGCACCATCACGGCTCACTGCAGGCTTGACTTCCCAGGCTCAGATGGTTCTCCCACTTCAGCCTCCTGAGTAGCTGGAATTACAGGCATGTGCCACCACACCTGGCTAATTTTTGTGTTTTTGTTAGAGATGGGGTTTCACCATGTTGCTTAGGCTGGTCTTGGAACTCTCGGGCTGAAGCAATCCACTGGCCTTGGCCTCCCAAAGTGCTGGCATTACAGGCATGAGTGCAGTGTTTTGTTTTGGTTTTTTTTTTGAGATGGAGTCTCGCTCTGTGTCCCAGGCTGGAGTGCAGTGTGGCCGGATCTCAGCTCACTGCAAGCTCCACCTCCCGGGTTTACGCCATTCTCCTGCCTCAGCCTCCCGAGTAGCTGGGACTACAGGCGCCCGCCACCATGCCTGGCTAATTTTTTTAGTATTTTTAATAGAGACGGGGTTTCACCATGTCAGTCAGGATGGTCTCGATCTCCTGACCTCATGATCCACCCGCCTTGGCCTCCCAAAGTGCTGGGATTACAGGCGTGAGCCACCGCACCCGGCGAGTGCAGTGTTTTTTATACCTAATCTCAGACATGACACACCGTCACTTCTGCCGTGTTCTGTTGGCCACTCAACCCATCTGTGATACAACATAGGAAGGAACTACACAAGGGTGTGAGTACTAGGAGGTAGGGGACATCATCGAGAGGTCATCACCGAGGCTGACGACCACATTGTCAAAAATGAGAATGCCGGTGGCTCCCGCCTGTAATCCCAGTGCTTTGGGAGGGCAAGGCAAGCAGATCATGAGGTCAGGAGATAGAAACCATCCTGGTTAACATGGTGAAACCACATCTCTACTAAAAATACAAAAATTAGCCAGGTGTGGTGGCGGGCGCCTGTAGTCCCAGCTACTCAGGAGGCTGTGGCAGGAGAATCGCTTGAACCCAGGAGGCAAAGCTTGCAGTGAGCTGCGATCGCGCCACTGCACTCCAGCCTGGGCGACAAGAGACTCTGTCTCAAAAAAAAATAAATGAGGACACCTTTCCTGAAGCCCCCAGGAGGCTTCCCTTCATGTCTACTGGCTGAAACTCTCACATGTCCATGCCTACACCAGTCAATCATGAGGGATTTGGGACCATTGTTTTTGGTCTCAATCACAATTATGATTCACCCAGCGGCTAAGATCCACCTCCGCTGAAGCACGGGGCGCCGTCTAAGAGAAAGATGGCTAGCTGAATAGAGATTCTGTTTGGAATGAGGAAGGGGCAATGGGAAAAGTTGTTGAGTGGGCAGCCCACAGTGTCCACAACACTCACCCACTAGACTATAAACTGCACAAGGAGTAGTGTATGTAACAGAGGTTACATCTTTTCTGACTATTGCATCCCCAGTGCATAGCCCACTGCCTGATACAGAGTAGATGCAACAGTATTTGTTGAATGAATAAATAAATGAATTCATGACTAAACTGGAAGACCATAGGGCAGGGGTTCAGGACTAGTATCACTAGCCCGAGGCTTCTTCAGTTCTTAGAACTCAGGAGGCCACCTGCTCCCACCTCCACCACCAGCTCCAAGAACAGGCAGGATTGGCAGAATTATTCTCATTTTATTTCTGGAGACATTTAATCAGATGCAGTAACACTGATTCCAGGCAAGGGCAGGGGGCATGGGTACCCCTGAAGCAACCAGTATCCTGTGGCCCAAGGTGTCCCCCATCCCCAGACCTGGGATCCCCCTCAATTATAGTTAAATAGAGAGAGGAAGATCTCCCCAGGGGGCTTTGCGGGGAGGGTCTGCCTCCTGCACCCACCCTCTCCACGCAGAGGAGTCTGAGCACAAGCTATTTACAGTATTCACATCCACTGTACCCCACCAAACCAAGGCAAATACTACAGGTGGCCCCTCCCCAAGGGAAGAGGCCAGAGAGGCTGTGAGTGTATGTGTGTGTATGGGGGAGAGGGGATGTCTGCGCGTGTGAGCACACAAATGCACTGAGGGGCAGATCTGGCTCCAGCCAAAGAGACATCAGTCTATAAGGTGCAGATTAAAAACAACAGAGAGGACCCACCCCCAGGGGCCCAGGCCACTTCCATCTTTGCTCTGTCTTTTTCTCCTCCAGACATCCTGGTAGGTGATGCAGAGGAGCCCTCACAGCTGTGCCCGGATCCAAGGCAAACCCTCTTAAAGGACTTCTGGGGAAAAAGGGGAAAGGAAACAGTCAGGGCAAACAGCACTCAAACCCAGATAGCTGGGGGTCTTCAAGGCGGAGCAGGAGAGGGGGCCTGGCAGAGCCAGAAGAGAAGGCAAGGTTAGGGAGTACAGGGAAGGCTGCTGGGAGGAATAGAGCTGGGTCCAGGAATCAGGAGACCTACCTGTGACCTGCGGGGACTGCACCACAGCTTTCTTGAGGAAGGCTTCTGCCTCTGCAAAGGGCAGGAGTGCCTCTGGTGTTCGGCTCAGACTCTTGTCCCCAGAAGGTCCCTTGGGGGAGAAGCCATTCTCCTGGTGTGCTGGGAGAGGCTGCAGGCCATTCACCAGGGACCCTGGCAACTCCTTGCTTGGGAGACTGTGGATGCAGAAGCCAAGGCTCAGCAGCTCACCTCCCAGGAAAGCCCAGGCCACCCCGCAGCTCCAGCTGCAGTCTGCCTCCCTGCTCAGGGACCCTGGGATTGGAAGCTGGTACCTCCACTGAGGCTCCTGTGGGGTGGGCTCCTCTTTCTGCACAGCCTCCTTCTGCAGCCCTGGGGGCCGAGCCTCCACAGCTTTCACAGGTTCTGTCACAGGGAAAGAGGCGCCATCAGCCAAGGGCTGGCAAGAGAGGTGAGGATGGAGGAGGAGGGTGGCAAAGAGAAGGGAGGTGAGGGGAACGGGGGCTTTACCTGGGCTGGAACCGTTGGCGTTGGCCTCCTTGCTGTCTTGCTTCTGCTTTGAAGAGGAAGAGCAGTCAGGCTCAAGGGACAGCCGGTCCCATCCACTTAGGACTGAGTTCTGCCCTCCCCTTGCCCGGGCCGCAGCGGCCTCCCCGACAGCCCCACTCTCCTTGGCCATAGATGCCTTTCCGCAGCTTCCTTTTCCCACCCCGGCCCCCACGCCCAGCACTGCCCTTCGAGGAAATTCTGACCTTGGTTTCAGAAACTTCTGACTTCCGAGTCCTCTTCATGATCTCCTCCAGACGCTGTTTGGAGGCCGCATATCAGTCTCGAGCCCCGCCCCTAATCCTAAACCTCCCACCAGCCAGCCCCGGCCTTGTGGTCTTAGGGCCTCCTAGTTCATGGTAGCCCTCTCCAGGACAGGAGCTGGAATCTGCCCCAGCGCTTTTCCGTCCCACCCGCTCTAAGCCCAGGCCCCGCCCACAAATCCCCACCCACGTCCGCACACCTTTCTGCGCTCTTGCCGCTCCTGCTCCTGCTGCTGGAAGTGCTTTTCCCGCTCCAGACGCTGCCGCTCCGCCTCTTCCCGCGACCGAGCTTCGGCCTCCTCTTTCTGCCAAAGACCCCCATGAGCGTGGGGCACCTGACTCCAGCCTTCCCGGCCCGCGGCGCCCGCGCCCAGCCGCCTCCCGCCCGCCCGCCGGGGGCACCTGCTTCTGCAGCCGCTCCTGCTCCTCCTGCTCGGCCTGCGCCTTCTCTCGTGCCTCCTGCTCCTCCCGTCTCCGGGCCTCCGCCTCCCGCTCCGCCCGGGCCTCGGCCTCCCGCGCCAGCTGCTCCTCTCGCATTCGCCTGGGGGACGGAGCAAACGGCTCAGGCTCGGACTCTGCTTCTTCTCCAGCGCCACGAGGACCCCCTCAGTCCCCGAGGGGCACTCACTTGTCTCTTTCTGCCTGCAGCCTCCGCTCCTGCTCCTCGCGCTCCCGCTGCTCCCGGGCCTGGCGCCGCTTCTCAGCCAGGAGCCGAGTGGCTTCTTCTCGGTCTGTGGTGCCGGCCATTGGTTTGCTAGGGGTCACCGGGGGAGCAGGGGCTGGGGGTGAGGTCAAGACAGCAGCGTCTGGAGGGGGATCCGGGACCAGGCGTCAGCCAGCACACCTACGCAGGCACCGCCAACATCCCTTCCTGCCGTCAGCTCCCAGCGGCCTGTGTTGTGGGCCTGGGACTGCTGAGGGCAGGAGTCTCCTCTTTCCATGTCCCACTCGCAGTCCTCAGGCATCTCTGGCGGCCCACATCCCCACGCAGGAGAAGCTGGCTTCTCTCGCTCGGCTCACCCCTCCCCTCTCTTCATGCCTACCTGCAGGGGTCTCCGCGGGGGGCTGCTCCTTCTGGGGCGGGGATGGGGTGGGCGAGGGCGCCGGAGAAGGTGCCGGTGAGGCTGGGGCTGCTGGCTCCTTCTCGTCACTGGCCCTGAACTTGCTCTGGCTCTTGTCCTCGGGCCCTGCGGCGCTGGGGCTCTCCTTTGCCTCCTCCTTCCTCCGAACCCGCCCTTTGGGGGATGCAGTGGTGCCTCGCGGGGACGGTGGCTTTGGAGGCAGAGTGTGGCCTGGCCCTGGGCTGGGGCAGGGGGAGGCAGGCCTGTGCCAGGATGTGGAGGGAGAGGATGGCCGGGCCTTGGATTTGGGGCTAAGAGAAAAGGGAAAAGGGAAGAGTTAGGAGACACACACACCCACATGCTGAGAACTTGTCCCTTCCTCTGGGAGGTGCCCCCTCCTGCAGCCTACATCAGCACCGCTCCCCCTTGCTCTCACAGAAACGCACCATTCCCTTTTAGATTATATACCCCAGTTTGTAATGACATATGTTTCTGTGGGATTGACTATTGTCTGTGCCTCACCAATAGCCTGTAAGCTTAATAAGAGAAAAAACCACGCCTGGGTTAGCTCAGCAACGTGTCCTCAGCACTATGAGTGCTACCTGGAAGGTCCATTCATTCAGCAGGTTTTGTTGTTTTTAAGACAGAATCTGGCTGTCCCCCAGGCTGGAGTGCAGTGGCATGATCATACCTAGCTCACTGCAGCCTCACCCTCCTGGGATTGATCAAACAGTCCTCCCCTTGGCCTCCCAAAATGCTGGGATTACAGGCGTGAGGCACTACTCTTGACTTCAGTAGGCATTCACGGAGTGGTTACCAGGTGCCAGGCACTGTTTTAGATGATTCGGTACTTCAGTAACCAAAATACTTAAGAAAAATAAAAGGAAAAAAAGAAAACAATTTAAAAAAAATGGAGGCTGGGCGAGGTGGCTCACACTCACACGTGTAATCCCAGCACTTTGGGGGGCCGAGACAGGTGGATCACCTGAGCTCAGGAGTTCGAGATCAGCCTGCACAACGTGGCGAAACCTCCCTCTACCAAAAAAAAAAAAAAAAAAAAAAAAAATTAGCCGGGTGTGGTGGCGCGCCTGTAGTCCCAGCCACTTGGAAGGCTGAGGTGGGAGGATAGCTTGAGCCTGGGAGGTCGAGGCTGCAGTGAGCCGAGACTGTGCCGCTGCACTCCAGCCTGGATGACAGAGGGAGACCCTGTCTCAAACAAACAAAAAACAGAGGGAAATTTGCCTTCAAGGAAATTGCATTCTAGAGGTGGGATGCCCAATAAATACTTGTGGGTGATGAATAAATGACCCGGTGAGGGGCAGGGTCCCTCGCACCGCCCGCGCCCACCTGAGCTCAGAGGCGGCGCTGGCGGAGAGGCGGGTGCGCGGTGAGGCGGGCAGCGACTGGCGCTTCTTGAGGCTGCGCTCCCGGGCTAGGGCACTCTTCTCCTTCTCGTTTTCCCGCTCCTTGTCCTTCTTCTCCTTTTTCTGCACCTGGCAGGGAAGAAGGAACGGAAGAGGAGAGTAGAGGTCAGCAGCGCCGGCGCTCCCCAGTTCCAGGCTGCCTGTCCCACCTGTGCGGCCGCTCAAACCAGTCGAGCCACTCACCGGCGAGGCCTCCGGCCGGCGGCGCACCGGAGCGGGGCTGCCCCCGGCGCTGGGCTTGCGGCGCTCCCCGCGCTCACCGGCGGGGGCGCAGCGGTGCACGCTTCGGGGGGCGCTGCACGGCGTCAGAGGGCTGGCGGAGGCCGAGCGCGGGCACACCGGCACGGCTGCAGAGGGATGAGTGCGGTCGGGTTGCGGCCCGCGCGCCAGGCTGGCCCCTGCCCGGCCCCACGTAGGGCCTCTCCCAGGGTCGCAGCCCCTACCCTGGTCCCGGCCGTTGCGGGGCAGTGTGACCGCACTGCGACTCCGAGCAAGGAAGGAGAGGGTGGGCGTCATCAGACGATCCACGATGCTGCTCTCCCATGCGCTCAGCTGCAGGCTGCGATCTGGGGGTAGAAGGCCAGGCGAAGCCGGTCACTGTGGGGGCCGCAGGAGGCAGGGAGAGGCATGGGGGCAGACCAGGCACCATCCCTATGCCAAGGTCAAGGCTGCTCACCCGGGAGGCCTCTCCCCACAGTCACACCGGGGCCACACTTGTCCTCCCTACGATCTGGACTTCCACTGCAGACCCAGGCAACCAGACACTTCCCAGGGCAACATCCTGCATCAGATGAGGGTCCCTGCCTACAACGCTCCCCAGGTGAAAGGGCCCTGAACCGCGCATATAGGAAGGAGCCATCCAGGATTGGAAGAAGACCCAATTGCCCTCTGCCATGTCCCAGTGTAAGGTCTTGCCCCTCCTGCTCTCAGAGGGCTGACCCAGCTGAAGCTGTCCCATGGATTCGGGACAGTGAGGGGTCGTTGTGCTCCTGTGACCCAGCTTTTAGCAGTCCTGTGCCAAGGAGAGGCTGCTAGGGTGCCTGCCTGCCCTAGGCCACCCTGCTCTGTCCCCTCAGCTGCTGGGCTATTTTTAAGCCTCAGTCAGGTGGGGTTGGTACAGCAGCTGATTTGGTTGCTAGGCAACAAAGCAACCAAACAAATGCAAGAGAAACTTATAAATAACTCCCACCATGGCTCCTTCACATATGAGCACCAGGGCATGGTGGGAATGCAGGGGCTATGCCACCTTGGTTGGCTCAGCTCTGGAATCAGCCAAGGCCGTGGCTGGGGCTCTGAAGGCAGAGAGGGCAGGATTGCATGGGCCCTTTAGGGTAGAGCCAGAATAAGGGACCCCTCCACCCCACAGCACCCAGGCCAGTCTGACACATGGGGACAATGCCACCTGGCTAAGGTTGGCCAGGCCAGCTGGCTGTGGTTGCAGAAAAGGCTGCCTGCCTGTCCCCACCCCCAGCCACCACCTCCAACTTGCTCTTGAGGCCCCTGCCAGACTTCCTGCCCTCTGAGGCATTGTGCTTTGTCTCCCTTCTCTCCTACAGGGCAACCTCAGTCCTCAGGGTCCAGACCCATATGCCGGCTCCCCCAAGGGGCACAGAGCCCTGGGTAAGGTAGAGTGGGGATGGGGACCTGAAGTATGTGAGGGCTCCGGGGACCTGGTGTTCTTGCTGAGCTCTGGAGGAAACTTGGTGGGAGCTACAAGGGGCTCTGGAGGGGGAAGGGCTGGGCCTTCTCTTACTTCTACTGGGGGAGTTCCAGAGCGTGGCAGAGGACTTTGAGAGCCGCTTGTTGATTATAGAGTCCACGTGTTTGGGCAGGTTAACTGCCGACACGGAGCACCTGCTCCCACCTGGAGGGGAAAAGACACGGCATTAGGGCCGGGCCAGGCAGGAGCCAGTGGGGGGCACCGAGGCCTTCCATGCAGGATGCTCCGAGGGCAGGGTGGGAGAGGGAGGAGTGGGCAGGCTAGGATGAGGAGCAGGAGGCAGCCTTGGCCCTGGGAGAGGGAGGGTGGCAGGTAGGTGACCAGAGACAACCTGGCTTGGGGGAGCCGACGGAGAAGAAACAAAGGGGGGAGATGAGTAAAACTAGAGAAACTACAGCTTTCCTGGCCAGACCAAGGAAGCCATTCCTTATGGCTGGGTACTGCAACCTCCCCATAACCCCCCAGCACTGGCACTTGCTGACACTGCCCAGCCAACGCGTTACGGATACAACACCCATGTACTGGGATAAATGCAAAAACGCTCCTAAACAGACCTACACAGTCACAGTCACTTGCACAAATCCACGTATTCATCCAGAATCACAAAAAGACATGCAGATACAGGCATATACAGTGGCAGATACTTTGGCATGCACACATGTGTGCAGACATGCACAGGGACAGAGACACAAATACTAACAGATAGTGTGTCAGACCCAGATGCACACAAGCCACAAACACATGGAAGCAACCTCATCATGACATTTGTAGCAGCTCACATTTGTTGATGCTTACCATGTGCCAGGTACTGTGTGGGGCACCACACACATGTGACCTCATTTGATCCTTCAAACATCTATCTACCACCTCAGGGGCAAGTAGTAGCATTATCCCCAGTTTATAGATGAAGAAAGTGAGACTTCAAGAAGTTAAAGGTCGCGCTGCAAGTGCCAGAGCTGGAACCCAAGTCTGTCTTGACTTAGGAGCCCTCACTGAGGTACACAAGGCCACAAACACGCCAAGGCAAACACATATTAAGACACACAATGCACGGGTCCAGGAGCACATACACCGAAGATACACAGCTAGAAATACTGAAACTTGTCATTGCATAAAGACATCCAAGCACAGTGGTACATACATGCCAGCAAAGAATCAGACCAAAATCCATGGTGGCCCTACGCGGAGAAAACTCAGAGACAAAAATCTACCTTCTGAGACAAGGAGTGACAGTTTCTTTAAGATCCAGTGTCTGTAGGGCATTAAAGTCTTTTATGTATCAACAACTAATAATAATTGACAGGCGCAAAGAAGGCTAATCCTAAAATGACAGAGGTTTGAAGAGCAAACCAAATGGAGAGAATCCATCTCTGATTTGATAGTGGAAGTCCTTGGAAAGGGACAGTTTGGCTTACGGACCATTCTAGAAGACACAAGTCACATAAAGCAAGGCACACCTGCTGCAGGGAGCCACCAGCTCTTTGTAGGGAAGTTGTTCCCTTCCTTTACTTGCCATCCCAGCCTTGCCCACCCACTCCCCAGCCCCTCCAGCCTACTCACTGGTCTTATGTCCTGGAGAGCTGTGGTGCAGGGCCCCTGCCCAGGACCAGCGCTGCTGCCGGATTTCAGCCCACGTCTTCTTCACTGACCGTTGGATGGCTGCTTCATAGCGCTCCTGGGGGAAGGTGGGGAGAAGAGAGATGTGGACTGAAAACATTCATTGAATTTGGGATAGAGGCCCTTCTTCCTCCTGTGTCAATGCCTCCCCCACTCCCTTCCCTCCGAGTCTTTTCCTGACTCATTGCAGGTATCCAAGGTTACTAAATCCTTGCTATGATTAAGGACCAAGATCCCTTTCGACTTGTTCTTGGGGAGCTTTTCACTGTTCTTGAGTCATTTCCTGAGTGTATGAGTTGCTTCTCTGATGATTTGGTGGGACTCTCCCTACCTGGGGCTCCCAGGCAAGGCCGTATCTCAGGCACTGAGGGTCCTGACCTTGGGGCTCTGTGTTCCCTCTAGCCTGAGGCCCCCCAGGTAGGGCCAGGTGGCCATTTCCTTCATTTCCTCACCAGCGCTCAAGCTAGGGCTTTACCCACATGACAGAGCTAGGCACGCTCATACACAGACACATACCTGCAGACATACACACAGACGCATGGGGCACACGGAGGAACACAGGTACTGACAGTAAACAGTTACAGGGACCTACAGTGGCACATTCAGAAGCAAACGTGCCTGCAGTTGCACAGGTCCCCAGATATTCTAACACAGGGACACAACTGTAGATGTGAACACAAATAGGACCACGTAGACACAGATAATGCAGAGCCGTGAACATGGATATGCATACACACCGCACCAATATGCAGACAGTGAGCACACGTGTACATGGATTCATGGAGACCCATGCCGCACCTTGTTTTTCTCAAGCTTCTGCCGCTGCCGTTCCTCCAGGGCTGCACGACGTTGCTCGGCTTTAAGACGTTGCTCCTCCAGCCGGCGCCGGCGCTCCTGGAGCTGCTTCTCCCGCAGCGCCTTGGCCTTCTCCTCCTTCTCCAGCCACACTGCCTTCTTGGCCGCTGTGGACAAAGGAGCCCAGTGGCATGTGAAGAGTTCTGCAGCAGGCCTGGGCCAAGGACATTTCCTCCAAGTGACCAGCCCTGCTACCCACATCCTGGGTGGGTTTTTCTCCTGCCTGCTTAGGTGGAGCTTTCAGTCTGAGACAACGCCCTCAAACTGAGAGGCTTACTGAAGACAGGACTCAGGAGAGGCCTATTTCTCCTCCATTGGCCTTATGGGCTCTCAGGATTGAAGGAGAAATGAATGCTTTAGTGCAAGATCCCCATCTGACTTGGGGGGCTACCAGACAGAGGTCCACATACTGTGATTAAGAGCATGCATGAGATCTGGGGTGACAGGAGGCTTCTGGGTCTGAATCTCAGCTACTGTACTAGCTGTGTGGCTTAAGCAAATGATTTCATCTCTCTGAGCCTCTGTTTCCTCCTCAAAATGGGTTGATGATTAAATTAGATAATGCGTGTCCTGCTCTTAGCACAGTGCACATAATTAAGTGTTGCAGAAGTGTTGGTGTTATTATTATTATTTTTTTTTTGAGACAGAGTTTCGCTCTTGTTGCCCAGGCTGGAGTGCATTGGCGCAATCTCGGCTCACCACAACCTCCACCTCCCAGGTTCAAGTGATTCTTCTATCTCAGCCTACTGAGTAGCTGGGATTACAGGGATGTGCCACCATGCCCAGCTAATTTTTTATATTTTTAGTAGAGACGGGGTTTCTTCACGCTTGGTCAGGCTGGTCTCAGACTCCCAACCTCAGGTGATTCGCCCGCCTCAGCCTCCCAAAGTGCTGGGATTACAGGCGTGAGCCACCGCGCCCAGCCTGTTGGTGTTATTATTAGGATGCTGATCATGATGATGAGGAAGATGATGAGACTTCCTGCTCACTCACCCAGGTACTTGGCCCGCTCTTCTCGCCGCTCCTTTGCCAGCTTGTGTCTCTCTCCTGCCTTCTTCACCTCTGAGCAGAGGGAACAAGAACAGACAGGTCAAAAGGCTGTCCCCAAAGAGGAGTCAGCCTCAGATCCCTCCCTCCGGGCCTCACCCCATCCTTTCCTCATCTCCTCTAGGGCAAACAGGACTCTTTCAGTTGGCATGATCCAGGGCCAGGACCCTGAGCCAAGGGGTTTAGGCCCAGGCCAGGATCATTACACACACCTTGCTTGGTGGGAGGGCTGTCGGAGGCTGGCACTGCTGTTGGAGATGGCTGACTGCTCCTTCGAGGAGGTCTGGCATCCCGTGGGCCCGTGGCTGGTGGGGTGGGTCCTCTGCTCTTTGCTTCAGAGGAAGGGGACTCTTCCTGCAGGGGGGCTGGCCTAGGCCCGACCTGCCCTGAGAGGCTCTCTGGTTCCAGTGGGAGCTGCTTAGAGCTAGTGGCATTCTTCATGGCAGGTGGGGTGTCCGGGGGAGTGTCAGGGACCACGGCTGACATCGGTGGTGGTGGGGGGGAAGGGTCACCTTCTGGAGAAGGTCTTGGCTCTGGGGGGGTCCTGGCGACCACAACTGAAAGACCAACACAAGAGAGGAGAGAGTTCAGATTGCACATCTGTGCCATCAGCTCAATATATGGCCCTCTCCCTTGTTCAACTGACTTCTTCATTCACGTGTGTCTGAGTTATTTCTATGTGCCAGGCCCTGTTCCAGATACTCATGATATAATAGTGAGAAAATAACCATGATCCCTGCCTCTGTGGCGCTTACCCTCTAGCAGGGCAGACAGACAAATAGCTAGGCAACTATAGTAGAGAATAAATACTATGTCTGGGGCAGCACAGCAGATATGGTTAACCTACATGGGGAGGGCTTGCTGAAGAAGTAGCAACCAAGCTGAGATCCGAAGGATAAGCTGGAGTCAGCAAAGCGAGGAGGAGAGATCTTGGCAGAGAAGAGTATATGCGAAGGGGCAGAATGGAGCAGGGTGTGTTGAAAAAGCTAAGAACAAGCTTGCAGCACTTATTGAGACACCAAACGCACCGATTTGTTTCCATGTCTGCCTCCTTCTCCTTTCTGCTTTATCTCTGGGTGACTGTGCCCAACCCAAGGTCTGTTCACAGAGGGTGCCAGTGCTGGGCACATGGGACTGACCAAGAGGCAGGATGTAAGTATGGGCTGTAGTGGGATGCTTTGTTGTGAAGATTCCCACTGGGAACAAGCTACCCCAAATTTGTGCTTTTAACATATGACTATTGTAGGAACCCTGTAAAAGACATCGAAGTGAAGGAAGGGAGCCACACGATTTGACATATACACATGTGGGGCCATTGAGAGACAGGCCTGAGAGTCAGTCAGATGAGGATGGGAAGGGAGGGCTTGCTTCCCCAGCAGACAACCATGGACAAGCCAGCCAACCTCTCTCAGCCTCAGGTTTTTTTGTTTTGTTTTGTTTCCCCCCAAGTCCACTTGCTGCTAGGGAATTTTTAAGGGTCTAGTTAGTTCCTTTAAGTCCCTTTTTCTTAATTTTTATTTATTTTTATTGCTGGAGTGCAGTGGCACGATCTCGGCTCACTGCAAGCTCCACCTCCCAGGTTCACGCCATTCTCCTGCCTCAGCCTCCAGAGTAACTGGGACTACAAGCTCCTGCCACAATGCCCGGCTAATTTTTTGTATTTTTAGTAGAGACGGGGTTTCACGTGTTAGCCAGGATGGTCTCGATCTCCTGACCTCGTGATCTGCCCGCCTCGGGCTCCCAAAGTGCTGGGATTACAGGCGTGAGCCACTGTGCCTGGCCAATTTTTACTTTTTAAAAGATAGGGTCTTGCTATGTTGCCCAGGCTGGATTCAAACTCCTGAGTTCAAGACATCCTTTTGGCCGGGCGCGGTGGCTCAAGCCTGTAATCCCAGCACTTTGGGAGGCTGAGACGGGCGGATCACGAGGTCAAGAGATCGAGACCATCCTGGCTAACACGGTGAAACCCCGTCTCTACTAAAAAATACAAAAATCTAGCCGGGCGCGGTGGCGGCGCCTGTAGTCCCAGCTACTCGGGAGGCTGAGGCAGGAGAATGGCGTGAACCCGGGAGGCGGAGCTTGCAGTGAGCTGAGATCTGGCCACTGCACTCCAGCCTGCGCGACAGAGCGAGACTCCGTCTCAAAAAAAAAAAAAAAAAAAAAAGACATCCTTTTGCCTCAGTCTCCCAAGTAGCTGGGATTACAGGTACCTACCACTATGCCTGGCTCAGCCTCAGTTTTGATATCTGTAAAACAGGGATAATAAGCCAAGCTAGTAGGGAATGTCAGCAAAGTGCCTGGCACTATCCACATGTCAGCAAACAGCACTCCCTGTTGGTCTGATGAAGCCTCCTGGTCTCCCAAACAGAAGTTTCTGTATATTGAGTCCTGGTGCCATCTGCTGCTACCATCCAGGCACTGAGGAGATCAATGGGAACACAGCTACCAACTTGGGCTTAGGAAGCAGGGCCAGCATCTGTGGGAAGCTTCATCTAAGGAAACGTTTTTCATTCTTTTCTTTTTTTTTTTTCTTTTTTTTTTTTTTTTTTTGAGAAGGAGTCTCGCTCTGCCGCCCAGGCTGGAGTGCAGTGGCCGGATCTCAGCTCACTGCAAGCTCCGCCTCCCGGTTTCACGCCATTCTCCTGCCTCAGCCTCCCGAGTAGCTGGGACTACAGGCGCCCACCACCGCGCCCAGCTAATTTTTTGTAGTTTTAGTAGAGACGGGGTTTCACCGTGATAGCCAGGATGGTCTCGATCTCCTGACCTTGTGATCCGCCCGTCTCGGCCTCCCAAAGTGCTGGGATTACAGGCTTGAGCCACCGCGCCCGGCCTCTTTTTTTTTTTTTCAAGATGGAGTCTCACTCTGTCACCCAGGCTAGAGTGCAGTGGCGCAATCTTGGCTCATTGCAAGCTCCACCTCCTGGGTTCATGCCATTCTCCTGCCTCAGCCTCCTGAGTAGCTGGGACTACAGGCGCCCACTACCACGCCTGGCTAATTTTTTGTATTTTTAGTAGAGATAGCATTTCACCTGGTTAGCCAGGATGGTCTTGATCTCCTGGCCTCGTGATCCACCCGGCTCAGCCTCCCAAAGTTCTGGGATTACAGGCGTGAGCCACCGCGCCCGGCTTTTTTTTTTTTTCAAGACAGAACCCCGCTCTGTTGCTCAGGCTGGAGTGCAGTGGCATGATCTTGGCTCACTGCAACCTCTGCCTTCCAAGTTCAAGTGATTATCCTGCCTCAGCCTCCCGAGTAGCTGGGATTACAGGCGCCTGCCACCACGCCCAGCTAATTTTTGTATTTTTAGTAGAGATGGGGCTTCACCATGTTGGCCAGGCTGGTCTCGAACTCCCGACCTCAGGTGATCTGCCCATCTCGACCTCCCAAAGTGCTGGGATTACAGGTGTGAGCCACCGTGGCCAGCCTCATAATTTTTATACGCACTAGTTCTTTTTTTTTTTTGAGTCAAAGTCTCACTCTGTTGCCCAGGTTGGAGTGCAATGGTGTGATCTCGGCCCACTGCAACTTCTGCCTCCCAGGCTCAAGTAATTCTTGTGCCTCAGCCTCCCGAGTAGCTGGGATTACAGGCATGAACCACCATACCTGGCTAATTTTTGTATTTTTAGTAGAGATGGGTTTGTGCCATGTTGGCCAGGCTGGTCTCGAACTCCTGGCCTCAAATGATCCGCCCACCTCAGCCTCCCAAAATGCTGGGATTACAGGTGTGAGCCACTGTGCCTGGCCTTATATGTTATTAGTTGTTTTTTTTTTTTTTTTGAGACGGAGTCTCGCTTTGTCGCCCAGGCTGGAGTGCAGTGGCACCATCTCGGCTCACTGCAAGCTCTGCCTCCTGGGTTCACGCCATTCTCCTGCCTCAGCCTCCCGAGTAGCTGGGACTACAGGCACGCACCACCATGCCCGGCTAATTTTTTGTATTTTTAGTAGAGACGGGGTTTCACCGTGTTAGCCAGGATGGTCTCGATCTCCTGACCTCGTGATCCGCCCGCCTCGGCCTCCCAAAGTGCTGGGATTACAGGCGTGAGCCACCGCGCCCGGCTTATGTTATTAGTTTTAATCCTCACTGACAGTATGAGGGAATAGGTGTTATGCAATAAATTATCTGAGGCTCACAGTGTTTTTCCCTCATTCATTCCCACCCAGCTTTCTGGGCTCCAGGCAAAAGCCCCAGCTGAGGCCCTGTCTCCCCCATTACCCCTCCAACTCCACCAACTCCGAGGCACCATGACAAGATACCCATCTCTTCCCATACCAGCAGGAGACGGCTGCCTGGTCACTGCTAATCTATTTCCCAGCCAGCTGCAAACTCCTTCACCAATTCCAATAGTCAACAAAACCAGTTACTCACTCTAGTGAGTGCTTACTATTCACTAACAGTGATGCATCCTGTGTCCTCACAACTCTGAGAGGCAGAGACTTTTAATCCTCATTAGACAAGTGAGGCAACCAAGGCCCAACCTGCTAATTGATCCGCACAGAGTCATACAACTAGTATGTGGCAGAGTTGGGATTTTTTTTTTTTTTAGATGGAGTCTCACTCTGTTGCCAGGTTGGAGTGCAGTGGCGCAACCTCAGCTCACTGCAACCTCCGCCTCCCAGGTTCAAGCGATTCTCTTGCCTCAGCCTCCAGAGTAGCTGGGATAACAGGCATGTACCACCACACCCAGCTAATTTTTGTATTTTTAGTAGAGATGGGGTTTCACCATGTTGGCCAGTCTGGTCTCCCTCTCTTGACCTCGTGATCTACCCATCTCAGCCTCACAAAGTGCTGGGATTGCAGGCGTGAGCCACCGCGCCCGGCCCAGAATTGGGATTTGAACTCAGGACTGTTTGAAGCCAAAGCCTGGGTGAGTAAGTATGAAGCTTGAAGGTTGAGGGTGAGGCCTGTTTATTGCCATTCTCCAAGTACCTGTGCGTGCTGCAGGTGTTGCAAGGAAGACTGGTAGGCGGGTGTTTGTCTACACCTAGGCAAATCACACCCACCAGGCAAGACAGTGAGTGAGTCCCCAGCTAGGTCCCGACTCACCATGTGAAGGGAGACTGGGAGGAGGTAGAGGAGTGAGGTTTGGAAGAACCTGTACCCAGGCATCAGATGCAGTGGAGCAGAAAGGTCAAAGGCTTCAGAGTCGGACAGGCCTGACTGAGGACCACATCTCCAGGTGAACCTTGGGCAAGCCCTGAGCCTGTGTAACCACAGTTCTCTCATGGAGTTGTTGGTACACATAGGGAGTTGGTATAGATGGGTACATCATTGGTGGCACCTGGCAGGGGCTTGGTAAGCAGCACCTGCCCTGAAGAATATATCCACGTCTCCCCATCTCTGCCAGGAGGAAATGCTTCGGCCAGGCCTTACCCCCACTGCTCTGCAACACTGCACTTCTCAAGGACCTCCATGCTGCTAAATCCAACAGGCAGTTTTCCAGCCCTCATCTTCCTTGGCCGCTATGCAGCTGCATCTGCCACAGTTGATTTCTGACTGCTCCTTGAAACACTGTCTTCACCTGGCTTTGAAGACAGCACATTCTCTTAGTTTTCCTTCTA